TTGTGAAATCCAATGTTTTTGCGAGGTCGTTCACATTTCCAATTAAATGTGACTTGTATGTGACTCCAGTGTGAACAACGGCCAGAAAGTGTCCCGCATGTGCACTGGAGACACGACGACGTCAACCGCAGCGTCTGTGTGTTTATGGGAAGTTGTCCAAACATGGAGGCGAGCATTGAGCACCTGGAGATTTTAAAGTTCCTCTCGCACCGGAGCCAGAACATGAACAACTTACTTGTTTTAAGGAGGAGATTGAGAAGGAGAAGGACAAAGTTTTTGGCCGTGACGTTTTGTGGGGCAGCGGCAGCGACGTCCGTTGAAAGGAACGTGTGGATGCGGAGACGTAACCAAGAGTGGTGAGTGGCGATGTGCTTCTCTTCAGTGACACAGAGTTCATTAACAATTTTCGCCTACTTCAGCGCAGAATAGTGACATTTATGGCTTGTTGATAACGTGTAGGTGGGATCAATGCGCTTTGGCCGTTCAGACTGAAATCACATGTCAAAAGATCAGATATGTATCTGTTTTAGGAGCACATATCCAAGTTGCCTGGGTCGCATTTGAAAAAATCAGATCTGTGTCATTAAAAGATCAGATAAAGGTCACATAGGGGCTAAAAATCGGATTTGGGTCACTTCAGGCTGCAGTCTGAACGTAGCCTTTGATACAATCACAGGTGAGTGCGGTTCATTTCCAAATCTCAAAATGCTCTCAATGCTTTCAATGTAGAGGCTATGGAAAACGCATCTTGAACCATGCTGGATCAAAAGCAAAATCTCTGGAAAGAACACAGTTACTCAAAAAGAGTCCTAAAACCACAGCTGAAAACAAGTTATTTGTCTCGATAAGGCACAGCAACCTTACAAGAGCACCTACTTTAAAGGATCAACTTGTGAAAAACTATCTCCCAGCAGAAAAAAAGACATTTTTTCCCAAACCAGTTGGTACATTTCAATGCGGTGCCTGCAATCACTGTGCCCATATTAATAAATGTACTTTTTTTAAAGACTCCTGAGGCCAAAAAACGTTTACATGCTGCCACTTTGCAAACTATAACACTACATATGTGGTCTACGGTTTGGACTGCAACTGTGGGTGTGGACTAAAAGGAGACTCAAGGATCGCTTTTGTGAACATAAACACGCTATTAAAACAGAAAACCCTAATTACCCAATGGCCCTACACTTTCAATCTTCCACTCAATGTAAAGTCAGTCTTTTAAAAGTCATAGTAACTGAGGTAGTCCCTCCAAATATCAGAGGGGGCGACAGACTCCGTCAGCTGTCAAAAACAGAAACGTTCTGGATTGTAACCTTAAAGGCCACACATCATCCGGGCCTCAATGATGATTTGGATTATTCCATGTTTCTCTGAAAGTTTACTTTTTGGGTGATTCTTTATAGTAAATGACATTTTTTTTTGTACTTGTGATAGTCAATTGTCTGTGTATTTCATGATGGACACGCCTACTTTCCTCCAACATGTCTTGTTATTCTTGTTGTTGTTTAGTGGGGCTGCTCATCACTTATATATTCCTCATGGTTGGCCAACCTTTTCTTGTTGTGGGGTTGGCTCGTTGTCTTTTTCCTGCTGTCATGTGTTTAATTGATTGTATTTATTGACACCCGGTGTGTCTTGTTTTTAATACTTTGCCCTGACAAAGACCATCTCGCTGGTCGAAACGCGTTGGCCTCCTTTCATGTAATAAAGGACTTTTAATATACCGTATTTTCTGGTCTATTAGGCGCTCTGGATTATAAGACGCACTGTCATTAAATGGTCTATTGTCGAACTTTTTCACAAATAAACCACACTGGACTTTAAACGAAACACAACAGTTGGATGGGTCAGTGGGACTTTGTTTGTTTGGTGCGTTCACGGTGACTCTGGGCTTTGTTCAGTTGTGGCGTGTAGGGAGGGTGCTGTCTGGGACCGCTGGATTGTCGGTGTGTTCGCAGTGACTCAGTTGTTCAGTCGTGTCTAGAAGTGGCACATTGGACTCGCTTTTTCGGTTCGTTCCTCCGTTCCGTTCCTCGTCGGCGTGGAGTGATGAGTGTGTCTGCGGGTGTGTTTCGCTGTGCGGTCGCTGTCTGCTCCGTGTGTGTTTGCGGCTTTGTAGTTTACTGAAGTAGTGATGGGACACCCGAGTGAATTCGTGTATAGGGCGCTCTGGATTGCGGGGCGCACGGTCATTTTTTGATAGGGTTAGAGGCTTAAGAGCGCGCCTAATAGCCCGGAAAATACAGTATCAGTCGGAGTGCCTCGGGTTTGTACCTTACCCATTTTTACATTTTCCTGTAAGGGTTATTTTCTGTTCTAAGCTCAAAATGCTCTGCTCCATCTTGTGATGTCATGAACTGATCATTTTCAAGTTAACATTTATCTAAGATTGAGAAATTATTGTAACGAAGGTGTATGGAGATTAAAAACACAGTCGAGCACTTCCTGTATTAAAACATGACATCACAAGGTGGAGCAGAGTGTTTTCTGTTAGAGAGAAGAACTCATCCTAATAAATATGCAGAGTTTGTGGGTTGAAACATGTGTGAATGAAACAAAACACAACTCCAAGTCTAATATGTTTTTGATAAAGAAATCACATTATAACATACATCAGAAAATAACATAATAAGCACTCTTTAAAAACACTTATTAAACATCTCCAGCTCCGTCATCTCCCAAACATCAATCCAACCACAGCTCTGCGTCTGACGTCACTGCCTCCATAACTCTTCCTCTTCATATTAACCCCACGCCTCACCATTAAAGACACGCTATGGGATCTTCACGTCCGTCAATCATTTTCCGTCACCACAACATTGTTCACGAGAGAAGAATTCCCTCCATCAGATCAGAGCATCTTTGCAGCTTGTCTGTGTGATTGACTGCGCCCCATTGACTTTTATGGACTTTTATTAAGAACTCTGTGTAAATCTGAAGGATCAAACGTGTCTCTGTGTGGTTTTCATTAAGAGTCCTCAGAAGCACGCCATGTCAAACTATGTCGAGGGCTGAGCAATTTGAGAAACATACCTAATAGAATATTTTCCGAGAAGCTTTGCGATACAGATTTGTGATTTGTGTTTTAATAATAGGATTCTGTTCAAAATTATTTATTATTTTAACATTTTCTGATCTATGTTATAATGTTTCGTCATCAAAAATATAACCGTAATTGTGTTTTGTTTCATTCACACATGTTTAACTCACAAACTCTCAGTTGAACTCAAGGTAGAAGGTTAAGCTGTTAACTTGAAAACTACTACTTCATGACATCACAAGGTGGAACAGAGCATTTTGAGCTTTGGAGAAGCAGACAAACTAATAATAAAGGGTTACTCAAACATAAAAGGCTCCTGCTACGCAGCCACCCTCAGGACCCCACGGACGTGAACCTGAGCATACAGCTCCAGCCACACGGACACATAAACCCAAACCACACAGGCCCCCTGTGCAGAACCTGCAGGATAAGCCTACTGGGGTAGACTCCAAAACAAAAGGCTAAACAAATGGTCATGACAAAATAAAGACCATACAAACAAGACTGGACCTAACTGAGTACCAAATGTAAATGGAAACAAAATGAGCACTAAAACTTAAAGCTTCAACTAAACATGTAAGTACAATAAGTACTCAGCATTAGCTAGCTCCACTACTTACCAAATATGCTAAACAGATATCCCCTACCTGCGGAGCCCGCCCGATGACATCCCGATGACGTACGCAAAAAAAAAAAAGATATTAAATCGTGGCCTCAAATTACTATTTCGTTCCCACATTTTAACTAACTCGTTCCCACGTTTTAGCTATATCGTGCGCACGTTTTACATATATCGTTCACTCGTTTTAGCTACTAAGATATATCATAATTTATATGACATCGTGCACGAAGTCAAGTTGCCAGCCCAGACTAAATCAGGTCTCAACAGAGACTGAACCAGGTCTAAAAACGAGACTAACCATGAACTAAACCAGCAAAAATTGTTTTTACCCACTATTAAACCGGAGACAAATCAACGACAGGCCAGACTAAACCCGGTCTAACCCAGTACTGAACCAGGTCTATAAAAGGGACTAACCTATGACTAAACCAGGTCTAATTTAGGACTAAACCAGGGCCAAAAAAAAAAAATCTATTTCTCACCAGTAGCTATAATCAAATCCAGACTAAACCAGGTCTAAACTACAACTAACAGCTGTTGCTGAGATTAAAATTCCCGTTTATGTTGGATAATCTTTAATCTTTTGTGTGGAATTGTTTATTTCTACGGCAACAGTGCTCGAGTTTCAGCTCTTGTGGAAATTGTCAAAACAGAACAGCAGTAAGATGGGAACTAAACCAGAACTATGGCAGGACTTGAGCAGGTCTGTGGCAGGACTAAACCAGGTCTAAACGTGGACATCATGTTGCTGACGTCTTTTCTCAGGGATTATTGACGATTCTGTGTAAACTGATGTGCATACCGAAACCTGGAGGTGGAGATCCTGCTCCTCGGTTTGGACAATGGAGGAAAGACCACAATCCTGAAACGCACACACACCTCCATACACATCACTCCCATACACATTATTGCAATGTGTATGGTGGTTTATTAATATTTAATTATTACATTATTACAAAATGTATTTTCTCGCCTGGCAAGAATTTATTTGAAAATAAATTTTTCGGTCAGATTGACCCACCCCAAGAGAGCGGGAATGGGAAAAAAATTCTTCGAGTCAATGTGACCCCGAGGAGAGCGTGAGGGTTAAACCAGGTCTAAACCAGGTCTCTGTGCTCTTACACTTGTTCTGATCCAGTTCCAGATCATTCTAAACACATTCAGGAAAGGTTCTGCTCTGTCCTGTCAGTGGGACTTTTTTTTTAAAGTATCGATACCTCCTAATATCTAGTTTCGATACTGGTTTATCGGTGACTGATTTTTGCCAACCCCACCCCTGACAACTTGTATAACACTTGACATATTAAGACTTAACATTTAGTTTTGTTTTGTGGTTTCCAGGGCTCTAACACCTAAAGTGTCCAGTTTCAGGGATTCATCCTAAACGTGTTGGACATCGGGGGCCAGAGGGAGATCAGATCCTACTGCAGGGACTGCTTTGAAGACACAGATGTCCTGGTCTGGATTCTTCTTACAGACAATACTGTTATTTATACACTTATACAACAAACAAACAAACACTCACCCTGACGTCTCTGTTTCAGATCTACGTCATCGACAGCGTGGATAAGAAGAGGTTCGAGGAAATGGGGCAGGTGAATATAACACAGACAGGGCTAAGTAGAGGCACTGCTCTGTCTGGAGCTCTGTTACTCAAGTTAGATTTAACTATTGGAGATTTGTTTCAACACAATGATCGATCATAAAGAATGAACTTGACTGAACTACAACTGTTGAGCTGATTTGTGCTGTTAAAAATCCCTCTCGAATTACATTTAAGTCAAAAGCTAGAAAAAAAAACAAAACTTAAACATGTCCATAAACGCTCATGTCGATTACCGGTTCCTCAAAATTCTTCTTGAGTTTTCAGACCGTATGTTGCTGGTCCCATGTTTTCAACCAGGACCAAACCAGGACTTAAACTAGAACCAAACCAGGACCAATGCAGGACTAACATATGGGTCTTGTTTCTTGCAGGACGGCATGAACTGGGTTTGCAAAAACCTCAACTCCAAGAAGAAGTAGCTCCTCTTCATCTTCGTCTTGAGCGCAGGAAGGACACACTCACACTATGACTGAGAGTGCACCCTGGGTCTGAGCAGGAATAAATATAATTTATCAAAAGCATTAGTAGAACTCATAAAACTATTATTAGGCCATACCAAACAGCATTGCAAGAACTCAAAACAACTGGCTCAGGAACTAAAAACCGTCAAAGTACAAACCGATGAAATATTAATATTTCACAATGTAGTATCCCTGTTCACAAAAACTCCCATAAACGTCACCTTACACGTAGTCGGAAACCGCTTCCGGACAGATAGATCACTACACAAACGAACCAATCCTACAGTAGAAGACATAACCCGGCTCCTTCATTTCATTTCCACATCCACATACTTCAAATACAAAGGAAAACTAGAAAAGCAGTCAGAGAGCGCAGACCTCCACCAAGGACTACCTCCATTTTTTATATAAATTGCGATAAAATCAGTCTTCTGGATCAGCCTTTGGAATATGAAAGAGGATCCCATTGTCCATCCCTGAGTCAAATTTCATGGGGTTTGGTCAATAATTAACCGAGATATTGAGAAACTAATTTTTTGGCCCCATTTACCACAATGTTAACTAAAATTTCAAAGTGATCCAGAATCCAGGATTTCTTCCGGATCACCCCCAAAATGAAATCAGTTCTTCCTTTTCACATTTCCAACAAATCCTGAAAATTTCATCAAAATCGGTCCATAACTTTTTGAGTTATGTTGCTAACAGACAAACAAACAAACAAACAGACAAACGCTGGCAAAAACATAACCTCCTTGGCGGAGGTAAATATATGGGGGGACCCTTATCTGCCATCATGAGTGGGTTCTTCATGGAGGACCTGCAGGAGAACGCCATAAGGACAGCACCAACGACATGCGGACTCACTATGTGGAGAAGATACGTGGAAGACATACTGGAAAAGATTAAAAATGGACACACACAAGAGCTAACAGACCACCTAAACACAATAGACAGACACAATTCACACACGAAGAAGAAACAAACAATACCATAAATTTCCTGGACATGAACATCACACACAGGGAAGATGGCAGCATCAAAATAAAAATACACAGAAAACCAACTCACACTGACTAGTATCTCTTACAGACATCTGAACATCTCACAGCCCACAAACTCTCAGTGGTAAGACATTTGTTTGACAGAACCAATATCATAACTGTTACGAACTGGCTCAGGGTTCCAACAAGGAGAGTCCACACATGTTTAAAAAAGCACAAAAATAGATATTTATTTTAAAACAAGGTGCAACTAAAGTTGTGGCCGCACAGTGGAGAGGAGAGAAGAGGCTCCAGCAGCCAGTTTTAAAGGTGACGGGCCACACCCACAATCAGGTGCAGCTTGTTATGTTGGCCCTGGAAGGTTTCATTTGCTTAATTCTGCTTTTTATTCATTTATTATTGCAGTTTTAGTTTTTGTTACTTTAATGTACATTTACAAGAGTGTTTAGGGATAAACTCACTGTTGTTTGAGTGTGTAAATTTGTTTATCGTTTCTTGTCAATATTTTCTCCAAAAATATATCGTACTTCAAAATGTGTAATCCTTTTCATCTGTTCTCGATTTCAAAATCACTTTATTTTTTTCTCCCAAGATATTACTTCATTCTGTTCTTTTTATTCATGCATTATATTATCTTTGAATTTGAACACATGCAGATGCACACGCACGCACACACACACACACACACACACACACACACACAAATGGTCGTCTTCACCCATGTGAACTCTTCTCTTTCTCGCAGCACATTGACACATTTTGAATCTGAAATAAACAGTGTCATATATAAACAGGGTTTTAGTGAGATATAATCAGCTGCATTCTGTTGCAGCATCAGTCAACATGAGCAGGTTTACTGTTTATGAGGCACTGGATTTGTTCATGACAGTGATTCACAGAGAGGAAAGTGAAGCTGAGGAAGACGTGTATGAGGATGAGGACATAGACTGTAGAAAAGAAGTGGACTAAGTGAGTGTGACGTCACCCACAGAATCTAGAGTCAGGCTCTATGTTATGAATAGTTTTTTTTTTTGATGGACAAAATAGCAAATAAAAAAATCAGGATCATGTGGCGCAGGTTAATACGAATGACCAAAATGACGAGGTTCACAGTAGCAGTTACACAGAGTGGGACGAAAAGATCCCAACGTAAGTCACTTGGAGCCAGAGTCAGAAAGAGCCGGAAGAGCCTCCTGGAGAAGCCTCTATGGATGAAGATGAGGTTCAGTATGACCCTGAAGAAGAGCACACATCTGATGAGGAGAATGCAGATGTCACAAAGGCCGAAAGAGACGTCTTCAAGTCAAGAAAAGGTGAGATTTCATGGTCATCAAGCCCTCTTGACACCCAATATAATTATACTTATATAAATTATATTTATATTATATGCATTATATATAATATAATTATGATTGTAGTATAATTATATAATATAATTACTCATTTTATCACTATAGGAAATATAATTTGTGAATTTAAACAGTTTTTGTAATCAAAAACGGTATATTTTAAGATAAAAAGTCTGTGGAGTCAAAAATAAATAAAAAATGTTAAGTGTTTCCATGGATATGAATACATACTAAGTTAGTTATGAGGTAATAAATAATTTTGCATGATAACTAGTGTTTTTAATTTTTTTCAGGCTGAGTTAAATCACAGGTCAAATTTGACCCGGTAACACTAAAGACGCGTGTAGCTTTCTAACACAATATAAGGGTTAAATCGTGGCCTTAAATTACTATTTCGTTCCCACAATATATAATTCGTTCCCACACTTTAGCTAAATCGTTCCCACGTTTTAACTAACTCGTTCCCACGTTTTAGCTATATTGTGCGCACGTTTTACATATATCGTTCGCATGTTTTAGCTAAGTCGTTCCCATGAATTAAGAAAATGCCGCCGCCAATTAAACAAAACAGGGCGTGGTATTCGGTTGATTTGGCAAGCGCTTCTTGCATGTTTAGGCGACTTCCGTAAAACGTTGTGTCCTCCAGTGCACATGTGGGACAATTTTGGGGTGTTTAAAGTTCACACTGGAGATCACAAACAAGTCACATTTAATTGGAAATGTGAATGGCCTTGCAAAAAAATCAGATTTCACAAAAAAATCCGAATTAAGCATTAAGCCCTGTAGTCTGAACATAGCTTTAAACATGTGTGAATGAAACAAAACGCAACTTTAGGTTTGTTTGTCATGAGGAAACAACATTATTACACAGATAAACAAGACAAAAATAGTATAATATGTGCCCTTTTAAAGACTAAATCAAATTATAAAGAGAGAAAACTACTGCAGAATCCCAACTAGCAATTTTATTCCATGACGAAATGAGCAAATGAGCCCATGTTAATCCAGTTATGTACAATAGTGAACAGCGTAAAGTTGAATTATAAAGTAATACAAAAAGCACAGTTCTTTCATTGAACAGGCCGAGATGGTGGAGACGTATTTGGCAGCAGTATTGTGCATAAAATCGTCTGAAACAAGAATGTAATCACCCCAGAGACATAAACATCCTTTTGTTCCAGGCTCTAAACAAACGCTCATTAGAAAGCGCTGATGGCAAACACACTGTCCAGACAAGGGCCTATCCAAGCAAATACACCTCCTGATTTATGACCCGGCACTTATTTTAGACCATAAATGGAGGAATAAAAGAAGATTTGTGCTCTGTCATACTTGAAAGAGGTCGATGACAGTAACTTGCAGCCATGTGTGTTAGTTTCAGTGTAGCTGGCTCATCTCTTCAGGCAGATATAAGGCAGGGATCCACCATTTTGCCATCAGAACTGAAGAAGCCTCTTGGATGATCATTGAAATGTCTTAACTCTGAAACTTTTGTCTAGTTGACAGAAAAACATTTTCTTTTGCTATTTAAAGCCATGTGGTGTCGTAATGAAAAGCTTAAGAGGGCTTTGAACAAACTTAAAGGACCTACAGTGTTTTTTGGACTATAAGACACTTAAAATCCTTTAATTTTCTCAAAAATCGACAGTGCGCCTTATGTATTAATTCTGGTTGCGCTTACTGACCTCGAACCGATTTTATGTGGTACACGGCGCTCAGAAATTTGTCAAAATATTTCAGTACAACTTTGGTAAACTATGAAGCTGATAGCGGCTACAGTAGTCAGGAGCCTCGCGGAGTAAATCGTGTCCTTCAATCCGACAGAAGCTGAACTGCATCAGGGCACAAGAAGCGAGCTGTTTTTTTCAGCACTTATAGTTTATGCAAATTAGTCATGTGGTTTTAAGTTTCTTTCTGTAAAACGTAAACAAATGTACGCAAAGCTGCACTGAACACATTATTACTCAATGTATATTTGAGTCCTCCTTGTTGGAAATAAAAAAAAAAAACTTAAATGATCCACCCACATGCACATTCATAATCCACATTCACCAAGACAGGGAGGCAACACCGACCGAATTACATCACGATCTGCCAATGGATCGTGGACACCTGGGCTAAGGGATCAGTCTCAAGTGTCGTCTGTTTGTTTCGCTTAATGCGCCTTATAATCCAATGCGCCTTATGTATGAAAATAGATGAGAGAATTCAACATTACTGATATTGCGCCTTATACTCAGAAAAATACAGTACTCTATTTCCTGATCTATGTTATAATTTTGTTGCCTCATCAACCAAAAACGGACCTGGAGTTGTGTTTTGTTTCATTCACACACATTTAACACACAAACCCTTCATATTTAGGCTGATTCTTCTCTCAAACTGAAAAAAACTCCCAACTTGTGAGGTCATACACAGGGGCGTTGGACTAAAGGGGAAGTGAAGTGCACTGTTTACCCAGGACCCAGTGCAGGAAGAGGCCCCTCACAAAGTCTGTTATGGGCATTTTTCATTAGGCAACATATAGTGCGGGTTTACCAAGAAGATTTATACCCAAAAGAATTCTCAATGTCTTCTGAAGTAAAGGTGAAAGGAGCTGTTGACTTGAAAACTAGCGCTGTTTTCTTACTATAACGAAAAAAATAACAGTTTCTAAACTCCGTCACTTCAAATGGTGGAGGATCTGTCCCTTGCTTGTCCCCACGGATTAAACATCATGGAGACGAGCACCCAGACAAGTTACATGTCATTTTTGTGGAGGTTTGAATTTAAAAGTATTGTATGTAATTTTCTGGCAGCGGCTCATGTGGTCCGAATGCTCTGAACAAAACTGACCGCTCATTTAAAAGAAAAATAAGTCACATAACCCAAGTAATGCCTCTATTTTAGTTTTCTAATAGGCTAACCTCAAAAAATACATTGAACACCAGGGCAGTTTGTGTAATAATTATTTTAGAAGTTGTGACGATCTCTGACCTGCAGTGTAACGTGATTGTTGTTGTGTTGCTCTTGTGGTTTGGTCTGTATGTGTGTCACTGTCACTGAGGATCGTGATGTTTGAATGAGACGTGAGGAGAGACTGAGGGACCCATGACTGAAGCCACGCTAACACCAAAAGGAAGTTGGGGTTTTCCACTTCCTCCTTTCTCTCATGATCCTGGATGTATGATCTGTCAGCCTGCTGACGGGAGAAACCGGTTTTAAAGGGCTCATGTTATGCTATTTTCTGTTATACTGTTGTTTCCGTATCGCAAACACTGGAGCTGTGTTTTGTTTCATTCACACATTGAACACAAAGAATCATTTGGATAATATCAGCCCCGGAATTGCCATTTTCTATCAAACTAAAGTTAAAAGGAGCTGTTAACTTGAAAACTACCACTTCATGACATCACAAAGTGGAACAGAGCATTTTCTGCTTTGGAGATGTAAACAGACTAATAAAAAAAAAAAGACTGTCACTCTGGAGTATAAGTCGCACCAGCCAAAAAAATGCTTAATGAAGAAGAAAAAACATATAAATCGCACCGGATTGTAAGTCACACTTTTTGGGGGAAATTTATTTTATAAAATCAGATCAGGAACCAACATTTCATTTTGAAAGGCAAGTTCTAGTAAAAACAATATAACAGAGAACGACAGGCTGTTAACGTCACATATGAACAGTTCTTCAGATAAACTATAACATAAACAACAGAACAAAACAAGTTTACCAAACTCTCCATCTCACTCCAAATCACTAAATCCATTCAATTCTTCATCCTCAGTGTCACTTCTGAGTAACTCCACGACCTCCAGAGGCAATCAGAGCACCGCTTCTGTCGTCAGACTCAGCATCAATTCCAGTTAGAATTATTCCGGCCTTTCTGAATCCCGACAGGATGGTTTCGGTGCCACTGGAGTCCAGGCTTTGTCCATCCATCCAGTGACTTCCAGGAAAGTTTCATGACACATCCCCGGGTTGTCACAAGTTTCTCT